AATATACACATATATGCATACATACATACCCACACATCAAAAAAATAGGTTTTAAGTTTCAGGTCAGAGTTCCCCAAATATTTTTATTCCAGTAACAAAGTTATTAGAGGCTTACATAAAAATGTATGTAAAACCTGAATATTCAATATCTGTGTACAGTTATCCAACAGGTATATTCCATATTATGATTAACTAATGCAATTGTTTTATTAAAAATTACTTTCTAAAAATAATCATTATTTAAAAATGAATTTAGTTTATGTAGGCATTTGTCCAACATGCAAAAAGTATGTAAACTTACTGAAGGAAAGTAAAGACATACCAAATGCAGTTAAAACTCGATGGCAATCTTCCCAATTATCTAGATGTGTAAGCACTAGAAATTGTGAAACATGCACAGTTTGTTCAAAGGCTAGATCAAGATTTCCACATATGAAAAAAATAAAGAAATTAGTACGTTCTAATAGGATGTGTAATGTTTGCTTATGTGCAATCAAAAAAGGAATTCAACATCAATGTACTGAAATGAATGTGTATACAAATCTTTCTGCTAAGTTATTTAGTGCTTCGGAAAAAGTTCAGAAAAAAGTCACTTCGAATGTTTTAAGATCGATTATTAAGAAAAAGAAACTTAAGCATAGAATCCAGACCCATCTAATTACTGGTAATTTGTTTATTAGATTTATTAGTGTTTTCGAATTGATTAAATCATCTAAAGTATTTTGTTATTCAGGTGGGTTGCCATTACCTATAACTATTGGTGTTCCTCAATTAGTTATTAGGAAAGTCAAATTTGAAGACACTGAAACTATGATTAATCGACTTGGACTTAGTCAATTCAAATCACACATCCCTCTGAAATCCTTAAGGAAAAGTGGAATTCAATTTGAGGGAAATCTTGAAAGAGGTAATTTGAGGCAAATCTTGTAGGAGGTGGATCACTTAAGGTAATTTGTAACCTCTTTGATCCAGAAAAAGAACGATGTGAAGGTCAAAGTTCTCACAGAACATATTCTGGAATTAACCATTCCATAGTTCTTGCGTATTGTGACAACTTGCAGGAGACACACAAAAATTTAGCCATTTTATTAGATCTTCTAAAGCTAGAAGATTGTAAATATGTTCTTGCAGCTGATTTGAAATAATTAATATTCTTCTAGGAATTTCAGTAAGTTATGATTTAAAAATAATTTATTATGTAACTTTTAATTAGTTAATTAGGATTTTAAAAAAATATATATAAGAAAATTTAGTCTCATGGTGGTATGTATGCTTGTGCTTGGTGTGAAGGAGAATGCGAACTTGTTGGTGGGTTGACAAGAACATTTTTATCATTGGATCTTTGGCATCGGAGATACATGGAAGCTGGTTATTGAAGTTCTGAAATGAAAGATTATAAGGTGTGAATGGTTAACTATTATTTAATTTAAAAATCTTTTTATTAAATAAAAAAATAACTTTTTTAAAATTGGTAATCAAATTAATAAACTTTGATAGAATGTGGTGAATGTATGCCTAATAAAGGAGAGAAACAAGTCAAAACTAGTTCTTGAAGTCATTCCTTTGCAGGAGCTTCATATGTTAATGGGATTTGTAAATCATATATCAACTTATATAATTGTTTATTGGCCTGAATACAAAGACTGGGTCGACTCACTTGGATGTATTAGAAGAGGATACCATGGGGGAAGATATGAAGGCAATACATGTAGGATTATTCTTAAAAACTGTGATCAGCTTTCACTAAGGCTACCAATTGAACTCTTACCACTTCTATGTCCAATGAGAAAATTTGAGAAATTAGTTCAAGGAACCTTCGGAAGTTATCTTAACCCTTGTTATCTTCAACTAATAACTGACTTTGGTTGTTCCTACAAAGCCACACAGGATTATTGTTCAGAGGTACAGTTAATTATAATGAACTTGCTTTAAATTGACTATTATATATACTATTATACTAATATACTATTATTATCATCATACTATTATTATACTAATATACTATTATTATCATCTATCCTATAGAATATTTTATTAGTTTCTAGGAAAGAAACTTACTGTGACCTTATCAATGTTTTACAAACAAGCTCAAAGCACTCTCTTAGAAGCAGAAGAATTGCTGAATCGTTCAGCAGTACTAATTTATAGATTAAAAATTTTAGATATTTTGATATATGTTTATAAATTTAAAACATTAAATACAAATAATTTTTTTAATCGTTAGCTAACAGTATAAAAAAATCTTAGTTTTTTCTAACTTTTGCATTTTATGCAAATGTTAGAAATATGATTAACTATTGCAACATGAATAGTTAATCAGGTATATGAGTTAGGATAATAAGAATTGTCTTTTTAAAAGAATTTAGCATTTTTTCTCCCCTTCAAAAAAAAATTCCACTCCATTTCAAGGCAAATACAACTTTTGAAAAAACGTTTTTGAAAAAAGTGATTTTAAAAAAAAAAATTTCTAATGCAAGGTCATTTGTAGACAAATTAGTGTTTGGGATAACTAACTTCTAGACATGTCGGAAACTCCAAACATTGATATTTTCATGTTTATGTCAAATAAAGACACTTTGCAAAATTTGTGATGATTAGAACTTGGGAACAAAATAACCACTAAAGGTTAACCCCCTACCCATAACAAGTAAAAAACAATTTTAAAAAAATCACTAGTATTAACTCAGTTTAAACTCATTAACATGTTTCAAGTTTCATGGAATAATCTCTTAGTGTTCCGTTATTATGACCCACCAAAGTTTATTGTCCCCTCAAATTGAGGGGGATTCGAACTTTATATGGTCATAATTTTTGAACACTCAGATATTATTGCATGGCATTTGAAATTCATTGATGAATTTAAACTGAGTTAATAATAATGAAATTTTTTTTAATACAAACTTGTTGTGTTTGTGTTAAGGACAGGGGGGCTAACATTTAGGTTTTTTTTTTCCCAAGCTCCAATCGTCACATATTTTTGCAAAGTATCCATATTTGATTTATAAACATGAACGTATCAATGTTTAGAGTATTTCAAACACTTAAAAAATTTGTCTACAAATGGCCTTGCATTAGAAATTTTTTTTTTTTTAATCACTTTTTTCAAAAACGGCTACCATTTGATTTTTAAGCTTCTAGATACAGTATCCTGAAGAGCCACAGATAAAAGTTCCATAAAAATATTTGGGGAACTCTGACCTAAAACTTAAAACCTATTTTTGTAATGTGTGTACCCTACAGGTCACATTAACGTCACAAAACATGAAACCATTTTGGATGGGGGAAAAAATTGAACAAAAGGCGCTATTAAAATTTTTTCTTTAGTGTTTTTATTGCTAAAATTGTGTTAAATTACTGAAAATACTAAACTAAATGTGTTAATGATGAGTTTTGTTCAATGTTTTCCCCATCTAAGATGGAAACATGTTTTGAAATGCAAATGTGACCCAAGGATATTTAAATATACATACATAAAAATTTAATTGTTATTGTATATAGAGATTTTAATGAGAAAAAAAAGATAAAAAAAACAACAACATGAAACTGAGGTTCAAGTTCAGCTGCTAAAGAAGACCGAGTTTTGTTTACAATGTTATTTTGCAAACTGTATAATAAAGAAAAGTACTGCTCAAAGACCCAGCCCATGCATGACAACTGTATGACATAAAAGGATGAATAATAAATTCATTGATTCAAATAAAAAATAAAATTCAAAAAATGACAAGCACAATAAAAATATGGAACCTTAACAAATATGGTTTCCAGGATAGATTGTGTTGAAAAATAATTTGAAAGGATGTTAGTAATAATAATGAAATATATTTAAAATATTTAAAAAGAATTAAAAAAATATTTTAAAATTTTTTGTCTATTTTTTGATAATTTAGTACTCAAATTTAATATTTACACTTAAACTTAATACATAAAAATATTACACTTAATACATAAAAATAAATAAGCAATAAAAAAAGATTCAAATTAAAAAAGCTCAAGTACATTATCAATATGTTACAAGCTGTTTTAAATGAAGCATTATAATTTTTACAATGAAATTTTAAACCACTTTGCATTTGATAATGTTTATTAACTCTTGAGTTAGTAGTATTAACTTTAAGAAATAAAGAATTATTATAAACTATTACTATAAATCATTACGATTAAAATTTTGTTTTAAAAAGCTTAAACAATCTTTATATATATATATATATATATATATATATATATATATATATATATATATATATATATATATATATATACATATATATATATATATATATATATATATATATATATATATACATATATATATACATATATATATATATATATATATATATATATATATATATATATATTTATATTTTATATATATATATTTATATATATATATATATATATATATATATATATATATATATATATATGTATATATATATATATATATATATATATATATATATATATATATATATATGTATAAATTTTTTATTTTATGTTAATATTAAAATATTGTATAAAATAATTAAAATATTGTACAACAGGATAGTGCCTGTTTAAAATTAGCAGAAAATTGTTAAAATGTGTTTAGCTTTATCGGACCTTGAAGGAACATGATCGAGGTATTTTCCAAGTACGTCCGCTAGTTAAACTTATATGCCACTGCGATTTTTTTTTATGGATTTTCTCCTTCGACCATATAAACTTTTTGTGCTGATATCAATAATAATAGATAACCCAAAATAAAAGAAGCTTTATTTTTTATGGTAAACTGTGTAAATGGACGTTGGAAACTTCCTGATGTATATTTTTTAATTGATGGTTTAGGTGGGCGTGAAAAAAACTAATATTGTTAAGCGTTGTCTGTAATTTATTTATGAAAGTGGTGCAGAAATTATAAAATTAATATTGCTTAATATTTAAAGATAAGATTGCACCACAAAACTGACTCGATCAACAATTTACTACATAATAAACGTATACAAAGTGTATTAATAAAG